AATTTTAATTGAAATAGCTTCTGGCTCTCAGGTTGCTTCCAATTCTATTGTTATTGTTCATCATTCATTTTCGAAGAGGACCAATGACATCACAATGTTGGGGTTAGGTTACAGTGTTTTTGGATCAATCTAATTCCGCACTTTAGGAACCAAGGCAAAGACTGTATAGAGACAGAATTTATTTTCTCAGTATTAGCTTCTCAGTTTTTTCCCTAGTAAAAGTAATGGCTGTTTGGTATACCATGTTGTAGAAATATGAATGTCTTCTCTGTAGTTAATGTAGAAGTTTGGATTTCACCCAGAGTGTTTCTTTGTTGAACTGAGTCTGTGGTTAGACCAAACCCGGCTGCACAGGCTTACTGCTTTCCAGAAGTGGAGCAGGGCCATGGTATCAATTTGGGAACAGATGTGATAGTGTTGATTTGGAGGGAAGGAATCACAAATTTAGAAGGATCCTGCCAGGGAGCTTAGATGGCCCTCAGTCTGCAGGTATTGCTTGATAACTCAGACAGGATCTTTAGGTACTTCTATACACACTGCCTAACCTTTTGTGAAAGTTACTAAAACCATGTTGGAAGTGATCGACCACAGTAGCCTTCTTCCAACCTAGCTTCTGTATGTGCAAATGTAATGTGCTGGTAGAGTCAAAGTCTACATTCTTTTTTAGAGCCACCAGATCCAGGGATGAATAGCTACATATATATATATATATATATATATATATATATATATATATATATATATATATATATATATGTGTGTGTGTATATATATTACTAACATTTAAAAATTGTGTTTTATTTGTTCTTATTTCATCTTTTATTTTTGTCTTAAAAATTCAATTTAATTTTGTTTTCAGTTCTGAATTCTCTCTCTCCCACTCCCCCTTGTTCTCCCAGACTCCCATTGAGAAAGGAAATAAAAACCGAACCCACTGGAAATATGTCAAACAAAACAAATTCCCCACATTAGCTATACATGGAAGGAAGGAAGGAAGGAAGGAAGGAAGGAAGGAAGGAAGGAAGGAAGGAAGGAAGGAAGGAAGGAAGGAAGGAAGAAAGGAAGGAAAGAAGGAAGAAAGGAAGGAAAGAAGGAAGGAAGGAAGGAAGGAAGGAAGGAAGGACGGAGTATAGAAGAAGGGGAAAAGACAGGAGGAGAAGGAGGAGGAAGAGGAGGAGGAGGAAGAACAACAGGAACACAAACAACAGCAAGAAGAAAAACATGCCTCAGCTAAGTCCATCAGCTCTCTATATGCGAAATGACCCCATCACCCAGCAAGCTTTCCATTGTATTAAGTGATTAGAAGGCAAGAGAAAAAGAGTAATTTAGCAAAACCCACCTACATATCAACTAATTCTGATGGAATATGCATACTTATATCCTCCTACTTCAGCAAAGAATAAAGGAAAGTGCATTGTTTCCCCCAGACTCCTCCAAGGTCTTTAAAGCTGAGGTCCTTATAATTATAGAACATTCAGTTTGGTTTTATTTTTCTTTTTATTTACATTTTGTAATTGTTGTGTACACTGTTGTGTAATTGTTGTGCTTACTTCACTTTGTGATGCTTATAGTCTTCTCACACTTCTTTCAATTCATTATACTCATTTCTTACTCTATGCTAATGTTATATTACATTTTGGGCTACTATTTGTTTAGCCATTGGGCTTATTCATTGGATCTCTACTCTTTCCAGTTCTTTCTTTGCATGAAAAATATTGTTATGATCTTCATACAAATGTATTAAGCACCTGCTTCTTTGCAAGGAACATTGTTGTGGCTTAGGGCTGCAAAGTCAACACGTGTAATAGTCCATGTTCTCAGAGTTTACCCTGAGTCTGCAAGGGAAACCCCTACAATACAAGCACATACAACTTAGTACAGAAGCCATCTTGGTCATTTGGCAGGTTGATTAGAAAATGCACCCCTCTAACCTATAATCTGGAATTCTCTATGTTGTAGCGAAAGGAGTTTTTGGATTTAGTCAGAGGATCTGAGTTTAAATCTTTTTAGATCTAGTTCCTAGCACATTATCTGGCATTTAACAAATGCCCTTCAATTGAACACATATGCAAACCAACATCCATAAAAGCACCTGAGCATACCTGCAAGGGGGCCAATGTGCACCTATGTATACCCACGACAGAAAGGGCAAAGATATGGTTAGATTTCCTACCTTAGACTTTTAGTGGATGCCTCATACTTGTTGAAGCTTATTTCCTGATGGCATTGAGAATTGCTTTTGGATCTAGCAATCGCACAGGCTGGTAGCTATGGAATGCCAATTCCCTCTTGGAACTAGAGTAAGGGAAATTCATTTGTTTCAAATCTATCAGCTAAATAAATTCTGGTTTTCAGGGCAATTAAGGAGAGCTCTACCACACATGCAAAGCAAAATGGAGACATAGGTTATGGCTGATTCCACACCATAGCTTCAAAATAGTTCCCTGAGAAAAATTTCAAAAGAAAAGCAGAGGAGTTAGTGCTTAGGGGACATTAAAATCCCCTAAATGTTCAGAACCAGATATGTTGACTTTAGTCCCTTTGCATGCTAAAAAATGAAGATGTCAGTTGTGGGATGGCCCGAATGATCTGACCTCCTGATTGATATTTGTGACAACAGGTGCCAGGAAAACATTATTAAGCAAGCCAGTGAGCCTGATGGCAGACTCTGTGTCTGCATGTGGGGAAAAAAAAAAAAAAACTGGTGTAAGGACAAACATGGTCTGCATGTTTTCCCGCTGCCAGGCTTAATGGCTGATATGTATCCCTGAGGCAGCTTTGCTCATCCAGTGATCTGTATAATTTTTGAAGTATGGTAGCAGTGAATCATTTCTGGGCTGAAGTCCATTTTACTGGCCAAGTGTAGACACAGCCACAATCTTAGAATCCAATTTGTTTTGTTTTGGTATATTTTTCAAACATTTCCACTAAGATAATGAGGTTGTAATTTGAAACGTCCGTTGGAAAAACCTCTTTCTTGATTCATTAAAAAAAAAAAAACAACAGCACATGCTCTGTTAAAACAGGACCTCAGTTTCTCCATCTGTAAAGTGAGAGGATCAGACTAGGTAGCCTCTAAATTCACTTCCATCTCTAAATTTATGACCCTTTGATGCTAAACAAGTTTTAAAAATTATAATATGTTTGAGAGTTTTTATACATAATTCCAAGCCTTTTTTAGAGAAAGAAGGATCTTTCTGACACTGAATTAAGAGTTGATTGCTTAAGGGAACACAATATACAGTCAAAGATCAGGAAGGAAGACAAACTTAGGGGGAGGCAGCAAAGGAGATGTATTTTCTTCTCTTTTGGTAAAGATGTCCATCATATAATCGAGATGGCTCATATGGGTGGTCATAACATGATTCTCTCTGTTTTGTCCTGAGAGGATGAATGACCTCAGAACAAGAGGGGTCATCAGATTAACTTTAACATCTTTTTCATCTGAAATTAGCAATAATCATCCTCACAACAATTTGACTGTGCTAAGTCTAAGGGGCTAAGAAGAAGCAGTGAGATCTGGGTTCAAATCCTATGTCTGATACATATTGTTTGTGTGATCTTGGGCAAGTCATTTAACTTTTCAGTTTCATAGGCAACTATCTCAAACTGTAAGTTTCAAAGAAGCAGTAGATTTATATTGGTATTAGGAATTCCTCACTAGGAATTTCTAATATCACTAAAATCACGAATCCAAAAGAAATAAAACAAACAGGCAGACAAACAAAAATGAAAACCTTGTACAACTTCCTCATAGTGTTGTTGCTGGGGAAAGCACTTTATAAGCTTTATAGCTCATAGAAATTCTCCCCTATTTGGTCTTCTTGTCTCAAATCTCTCCAATCTCTGTAACATCCTCTATAGTGGATATATGAATATTTTTTAATGTCCAATTCTCACCATGTTTTTCCACTGCTGAAAAAGCTCCAGTGGCTATATTTCACAACTAGGACAAAACAAAATCGTTTCCTTTGACATTTAAGATCTTTACAATCTGGTTCCATTCTATAATCCTAAAATTATATTATATAATTCCTCATATATTGCAAGACCTAAATGATCTACTTTCTTTTCCCTGTACACAAAACTTATGCTCAAATTAATTGGGAAAACGTAAAAATAATTAGTTTATTGATATATGATGTACCTCATAATTTTTTTGATGTTAAAAAAGTTTAATTTGTAATATATATTTGTTATAATCTCTTGTTTTGGGGGGTTTGGCATTGAGTTAATAACATTTTGATGCCTATTCTTTAATCCTTTATCAGAAAAACTGACATTACATTGTATATCAGGAGTGGTTTTGCGAAGTCCATTTTGCCAAATGTAGCCTTGATTATACCCTAGAGGCTTTTAAGTTCCCAGTCTGCTGAAACACATTTACCACTATCTCTTAGATTGATTATTTAACATTTTGCAATCTTTAGTATGGTATAAGGCTATGTTGGAAGGAAAGAAATTAAGGAAACAATTACGTACCTACTATGTGGTACTTTGCTAAATGCTTTACAAATATCGCCTCGTTTCATCCTCACAACAACCACAGGAGAAATGTGCTTTCATTATCCTCATGTTATAGTAGAGGAAACAGAAATAGACAGTCATTAAGTAAATTGTGTACACTTGATTTTCCCACCTGAACAGCCACCACGATATCACTAACAGTCATTAACATGTGCTCTTTAAAATATTTAAACATTTCCTTGGAATAATATACATTCTCAAACAAACAAACAAACAAACAAACAAACAAACAAACATAGCATTAAAAATTTTAACAAAAGAAAGCAGTGAAATGCATGTGTTATAGCATGAAATCCCAAACTCAAATGACAGAGGACTAACTAAAGGAGGCAGAAATTACCTTCATCCATTTTTATCTGGTCAAAATGTCAGCAGAAGCACACAGATGTGACCGTCAGTGTCACAAATAAACCATATCCAAAGTATTGTTTATCTTCCATCATTTGCTATCAACTGTACATGCCGTCTCTTACCTCTGTGTCCTTATATTGGCAGTTTCCCATGCCAGTAGTGATTTCCCTCATCACCTCTATGGAATCTTCAGCTCCATTAAAAGCTCAGTTCAAGTGCCATCTCCTATATGAAACCTTTCTCAATCTCTCTCTCTCACATGCAAGTTGTAAATTCTTCCCTTCTGCTATCCACAGAAATTAATTTTCAATTACTTTATATTTATTTATTTTTTAAATTTGCTTATTGGTGTCCATGTTCTCTCCCCTAATAAAATTCAGGGTTCTTGAGAGCAGGGGCTATTTTTGTTTTGGAAAAAATTTGTTTCTCCACCAAGAAGCACAATGCCTATCAGATGAATTGAATTGAATAGGCACCATGTGGCTGTTAGGACCACAAAGAAATCATTGTCCATGTGTTGACATCTTCTTCTAATTATAAACAAATTACTTAGAAGGAAATGGTCTTGTTCTTTGCAATCCCAAACTCTTGAAATAATGAAATACATCACAATTCCATATTTCCTGTGTGAGTTTTCAGTTTTGGAATTTGTTCCCTGAATTCTTCTTGAAGTTTCCAAATAAATTTCAAAGGTGGATGGTCTTTGGATCTGCTATTTTAACAAAAGGGATAGTTTTTAAGTAATTCTCTAACAAAATTCTGGAGTACACTTTACAATCATTTTTTTTTGTTCTTGCTAACCTTTCCATGGTCTTTCTAGCTAAGACTGCTTTAATTTATTTGAGTGTAAACATGTTTTGACAGTTTATTATGCACAAAGTTCAAAATATGAGGCAAAATTTTAAAGTGCCATGTAGAGAACTGATTGATTCTCACTAAAGATGATGGAAATTATATGTCTGTCTTTCTTCATGACTCTGAAAATTTACCCTTGTGTGTCTCTTTCCAAGTACATTTTTTGTCTGTTTTATTGAGAAACACTCTAATGTGGCATACTTGCATTAAAATAAAACCCACTAAAGGATATAATTTTATCTTCATTAGATTTTCTTTTTACAATTTAAACATTTTCTCCAGTTTCACATGAAGGTTTTACTCTTTAAAAAATTAATCATTTATTTTGTACATAATCCCTGAGAAATTAGGTTTTTAAAATTGTTTAAAATTTAATCTACTGATAAAATTTGTAATAGAAAAAAAATAAGTTCTATCAAGACAGTTTAAACATACTGTGAATTAAAGAAAAACTCATTGGTTCCCAGCCTTTTGTTCTCTAAGGATGCATTATTTAGGAAAAGTGAAATAAAAGAAGAAGTAAAAGAAAAAAAGAATGAGAAGAAAAGAGTGTAGCATTGGTGGTTTCACTGTATTGGATGAAGTTTGGCAAAACATCTCCAGCAAATGTAGGGGTCAAAGGAATAGCTATGCACTATCATAGGAAAAGCAGTTTGAGTGAGTGATGTAAAGACTGGAAATATATAGTCTTTAGGACCTCTGTCAACTTCCTCACAACCTTTTGATGGAATTATGGCCATTAATTTGAGAAATATTGGTTTGGTGGTAAAGAAAGACATAACATTCAACTCCAGGATCTATGCAAAAGCAAGGAGATGGAGGGAGAGAATGACAGAGATAGACAAATACAAAGACAGGACAGAGAGGGGGAGAGAAGGGGGGGGAGGGAAGGAGAGAGAGAGAGAGAGAGAGAGAGAGAGAAGAGAGAGAGAGAGAGAGAGAGAGAGAGAGAGAGAGAGAGAGAGAGAGAGAGAGAGAGAGAGAGAGAGAACGAGAACGTAGACAAATAAAAAAAATCATCATATAAATCTTCATTTTAGAGGATTGCCACATAACCTTTTCCTACCATTTCTTTCTTCATGGTTGCTATTAATGTACTAAACTTGAGGTTTCTATTTTTAAAATCTTTTCTTTGGAAACCATATTGATGAAATGGACAGAGGCAGTCAGAGAGACATGGAAGAGAAAATGGGGATCAGATTAGATAACACCTTGACTAAGAGAAAAAAACACCAAACTTTTGATTAACTTGTCCATTGACATAGAATTCCTGGTAAAGTTGGCTTAGAGAAAGAGTTTGTCTCTTAAATATTTGATTGGTCTACTAAAAGGCTTATAAATTGGTAATTGCCTTATATCTATTGTTATAGGTTGTTTGGTCATTCTGGAAAAAAGAAAATTGAATACTTCTGAATTGTAAGGTGAGACTGTATTTGTCAGATAAGAATTTTTGGAATACTCAATTCATTAAACAATACCAAAAAGTGAATTGAAAACTGGATGAAGAAGTAAGAAGTGGATAATTTTTTTTTTCCAAGTCTGACATTGACATCTTTTGGGAACATGAATCATACTCCATATATATCTATATCTATATCTATATCTATATCTATATATATATACATATATATGTATATATATACATATATATATATAGTTCAAGAAATAAATAGTTAAATTACTGATTTATTTTTCACTTTGTCTATATCTGGGGGAGAAAAAGCTGAGTCATTGGAATGTCACTTGAATTATGGCCATATTATATCAAAGGAACTGATGATAAAATTCAAGTTATCCATAAAGAATATTACTGTATTTAATTTAAAAATATCATAGTGGTTATTTTTTCTGTCCCTTGAACTTTTTCTTCAATAACTACCAAGAATGGTAAATGGAAGATTGACAGTAATATATACACATGTGTTTTTCAGTATTCTCTGGTCCTAATAGCTTCCCCCCAAAAAAAACCCCTTTATAATTACAGATGACTATTTCAAATGTTGATTTTCTTTATTGCATTTACATAACACCTTTTTTTCTTCTGAATAGCCGTTACTCTGTATCTATTGCAATGTGAAGTACTGAACTGATAAAATTACCTCATCTTCTATTTGAACACTATCATTCAATGCTTTGAAAAGAGAATTATGACTCACTGCCTTGTCTGCACTTACTGAGAGAGGGTGTAGACATATATATTTTTAAAGTACTATATTGAAACTAAGGAGCTTGGAATAGTTCTGCTAAGCACTGCAGAATGGGGAAGTGGTGACAGCCTATCTGGAAAATTCAGATCCCAGACTCCTTTTTTTTCTTAATAGCAAGTTTTATTTTCGAAGGGGGGACTGATTAGTCAGATAATAGCCTCAATTCTCCACTTGACTTAGCCCTGTTTAGACAAAGTCTTGATGTCACAGCCTCTGAACATTTCAGAAAAAAAAAGTAGATTCCATTGAACAATGGATAAATCCAATAATCAAGGATTGTGAACACTATTATCACTAAGTATTGCCACATGCATGAAACTACCCCATAGCAGTGTTTCAAGTATGGGAATCTTCAATAGAACCTGCCAACATTTTAAACTTAAAAAGCAGCTTGAGGAATTATTGTAGAAGGGCATTGGAAGATATTTGTTTTTCTTTTGCTGTGTGGGCTATTGTATAACTAAATTAATTTCTCCTTTCCCAAACCCTCAGAAACAGATGTTTGGAAAGAAAGGTAGCAATCATGTTGAAAAACAATAATGACGAAAACAAAGTCAACCACAATGAAGTTATTTGGGGTTACACTTTCAGTTACACCTGATTGTGATTTTTTCCCCAAGACAGACCAAATTAAATATTGTAATTTCAAGTTCTGTTTCTCTCTACCTTTTTAGTTTTCTAAATCCATTTAGAAGACTGAAAATTTGGTTTCATTCAGCAATTATCCATAATAACTCTTTAAAGTTAAGAAAATATTTCTTTTATAAAAATGCAAATAGAAATGCATAGAGATATCACTGAGACGAAAAAGGACAATAATTAATTATTGATAAATAATCCATCTCAAGCCAATGGGAAGCAATATGCATTAAATAGAGAGCCTGGTATATATAAGGTGCTCTGCTATTTTCTGAGGAATCAAAGATAAAATCAAAAGCTTTCTCTAACTTCAAGGAACTTATATCCTACTCATATAAATTAAGCATATCAACTACATTGATAAAATTACCTATACAACACAGTACGAATAGAACTTTTTACAATCTTGTCAAACTTATAGTACTAGCCTCAGTTTCAGATTCAAAAGTTTGACTTTTTTCTCTAAATTATCCATTTTGACTGTATAGCCAACTTAAATTAAGCAAATAATTTACAACTCTTCACTGTAATCTATATTTGTGTGGAATTCCTGATCAACTTGAAGAATTTCCCAGGAAACTTGATAAGCTTAGAGAGTAGGTCTCTTAGCATACAGGTGCCTGGAGACACCTTCACATTTGTAATAGGCATACTTACTGGTATTGCTCTGTGAGGACAGAGGGAACTTCTTCAAGGGATATCCTGTTACTGGGTCTCCTTCCAAGATGATTGGTATTGAAAGTTAGGGGGATGGACTCTTGTAAAAGAAATTGCCTTTCCTTTCATAGTAAATTCAAATGAATATGAATTAATAAATATTTAATTAAATAATTAAAATTACCTCTCTCTTTAGGACTGTTCTTGGTATTTTTCCTAATGCCTTCTCATGTTGTTGTTGTCCATTCGCTCACCTGGGTCTGACTCTTTGTGACCCCATGGACAATAGCAAGCCAGGCCATTCTGTCCTACACTATCTCCCAAATCTGTCCAATCACATGTTCGTTGCTTCCATGATAACTATCTATCCATCGTATGCATCAAGGAATGGAAAGTTGGTTTCTTTCCCTCCCTAGAGCATTTTGCAATTTCCTTCTCCAGCTCATTTTACAGATGAGGAAATTCAGGCAAACAGAGTGAAATGACTTACTCAGAGTCACACAGCTAGTATGTGTCTGAGGCCAGATTTGAACTCAGGAAGGTGAGTCTTTCTGATTCCAAGGCTGCCACTCTATGCACTATGGCGCCACCTCGCTGCCCCAATGGCAACTCAAAGGAGAAGCCCATAACCAAACACGTGGAAACCCATGTGTTTTGCCAGATGACCTGATGGGAGAGTTCCAGGGTGATTTGATGGGAAAGATGTTTCATATCTGGCCCTTCCGTATATCTGATTCCTCTTCTTGGCACAGATGAAACTAAAGTTCCTAATAATAGGCTTCCTGTCCATAATAGATGGCAGTAGCAGAAGCATTGCTGGAGCTCATGCCCAAGCACAAGGCCAATGCTGTAAACACATTTCGCTACAGCCTGAAATGAACTGTATTAGCCTTAGAAGTTACCCCCTGGGTAATTTGTTTGAAAGCTTGGGCCCTGAACGCCTAAAGGAAGAAGATTCCCTCACTTGCATGCTTCCAGAAGGGAAGAAAATCACTCCTATGGCCTGTGGATTTGGAAGAACAGGGTCATGT